TATTGGCACCCCCTATCAACTTCGTAAAGCCAGTCTGTAGATGGTTCTGTACTTGAGCTTCAATCCAAATTGAAAAACCTTGGGGTTATATTCGATTCTGGCTTCACATTCGATCCACATGTGCAGCATACTGTCAAAACATTTTTTTTCACCTTAGAAATATCGCTAGACTACGCCCTATGCTATCATTAACTGTGGCTGAAAAGCTGATCAACACATTTGTGTTCTCTCGAATTGACTACTGTAATGCTCTACTTGCTGGGGTATCTAAATCTACTCTGAACAAACTGCAGTACTGTATGTCCAAAATTCAGCAGCCAGAATCCTGACCAGGTCTAGTGCAAGTGTTCACATTACTCCTATCCTGGAGTCCTTGCACTGGCTTCCGGTCAAATACCGTGTAGACTTTAAAATCCCCATGCTCACCTATAAGGCTTTGCATGGCTTGGCACCTCAGTACCTGTCTGAAATATCGCCCTACTCCCCACCTCGCAACCTTCGCTCTTCTAATTCAGGGAATCTTCTGAGTGAAGCTACTACAGTTCGCATACATTTAAAAATATTTAGAATAGAGTATACTCTCCTGTTAAGACTGGAGCTGCTGTGAATTACTGAATGATTAACAGCTGCTTGGATATAAAGATTTAAACAAGGCGCCTTTCCAACACAATAAGTTAAAAAAACATAAGTTTGTCAGGTGAACCTTTTTAGTGATATTACCCATCTAATACAATATGTCGTGATTAATTTGGCTTTCACTATAGTGTTCTGTTACACTGCAGCTCCAGTAAAGTGATGTATAGCACACAGTGATTGAAGTATAGGACTGTTGAATTATATACAAATCAAACACTAAACTGTACTCTGCAAAAATAGGAAAATAAAAAAACAGAACTTTTAAGATTTGTCCTTGAACATGGTACTCCTTCTTTTATAGATTGCAGTTATTTAACATTCATAATATTAAATGTTTGATGCTGACATTCTTACAGTGTATTGCAGTGTTTGTATTAAAAATAAACTTCCAATGTCTTTTTTGCATTAAAGGCTTTAGAGCTTGCTGTGAACTCTAAAAGTGTTAAAAGAAGTAATGGACTAAATGTCACACCTTAAACATCAATCACCACCAAAAGCTACACTTTATATGTGGTCCAAAATTGTTCTTCTTGTATGAAGCTACTCATCCATCACACCTCCTGACAAAGACCAACTATATCAACAGAAACTGACCTCAAGGAGTTTAGTTGTCATCAAAAATGGACCACTTTTGATGTGCTGTATCTCATGAAGCCCATGTCACCCAGTCCTAATATTTACAGTGTGGACATTTCTCACAAACATACAAAGATTTTTTTTTTCTGTCAAAATCAAAAAAGGATATGTTTTTTTGTAATTAATATCATACAGATGGATCCATATCTCATCCCTTTGATCAGGAAGTACGTGAATTTACATTACAAGTTGGATCAGTTAATTCAATAGCACATTTTCTGCAAGAGCAATTAATCAGTATTTTAATAACTGTAAAGGAGAGAATCAATATTTTATTCATAACGTTTATAGTGACACTACAGAGTCTTCCAACCTGATCTCTACCTGACTATTGGTTTAATACGTCCTGGACAGTACAGAATACTTTTTGCCAGAAATAAATAGTGTTGATACTATCAAGTTAAATCTTTACAATTAAGAACAGCATGTCATGTTATATGACATTTATTCCAAAAGGAATGTGAACTGATGGCTTTTACACAGAAGGGAACAAAAATCTATTATTTGAAGTAGTAACAGAAGTGCCTACCTGTAATTAGAAAAGATACTATGACTACACTATCTTTTATAGCATTGAATGAGTTGGCTTGGTTATAACACAGTTCACGGTTCACAGATAATGTATATCTTATTCTGACTGACACTTTCAGTTTTAGAAGTTAGGAATTAATTTTGCTATAAAGTTAATGCTCATACAATTTCTTATTCCTGCCCTTTCTTAATTTTCTGAACTCTCAAAAAGAAACACCCACAGGGTATACATTTATCATGTCACTGATGTGTACAGAAAAGCACAAGGGAATTCCACATTACCAAGTCAAGCATTCACGTCTTGCACCTGATAACTAGGTTATATCTGTATGCCTTGAGTATTCAAATTGAACTTAATCTCACTAAATCTAAATATAAACAAATGACATTACCCTGCATTTGTAATGTACTGATCAATACATCTATTATAAAATGCATTTCACAATATATTCAAGACGCACTAAACAAATGCATTTTAATTCTGGAATTTCAGATTAATTTCTCTTATAACATAACTTGCATAGATCTATACATTGAAATATGATTTGTTTTGATTTACCAAAGATTAAAGTTTTCCAGATAGTGTAGTTTTGATACTGGTTGACAATGGCTTTAAAAAATATTAAACGCATTAATAAGGAAATATGATATACTGCACACCCAAAAAACACTTGCTTCCACAAAACTAAAAGAAAATCTTTTAAACATGCTCAATAAAATTACCACTGCGTCTGCAGTACACTGCACAGGTGAACATTCAACACCATGTTAATAATGCAAAACAGAGCACAAATAAAAGCTAATCCTCCACTGACTGATGAATACTTAGTCACTATATGGATACACCAATTTATACAATTTTAAATTGAATGAGTGTGGAACTAAGCAGGGAATAATGGCAGAAATTGTCACTTACAGCATCTTTTCAAAACAGTGCCAAATAGCCAGATACAACAAATTTGGGAATGTATTCTATCATTTCTAACAGAGAGTGGATAACACAACAAGTTACTTCCGCACCAGTGAATTTCACAGGCATAACTTCACTATAGTACTGTTAGTCTATAATAGCAGTAGTGTTGGTCAGTTTAAATGAGTTTTCAACTGAAACTCACCTATTACCTTCGAGAAAAGAATGGGAACAAAAAAGGCTGGACTTATAACACTATACAGAGACTATAATGACTGTTTCATTATAATATTAATGCTACTATTGGAGAAACCAAGTCCTGATACTTCTAAAATGTCATTTCTGCAGTTTAAATAAGTGAAAAAATACAAGATGTTTACAGGACCATGGCAATTTTGGCACACGTGACATCTCCCCTCACCCAATGCATACGAAACGCAGAGCACTAGGCCCACTATTTAAAAATGAAACAGCTAAGGTCTGAAAGCAGGGCTCCTCATTAAGTAAATGGTGTGAAACGCTCGATGCATTGCCATCACCTTAGTGCCAGATAGCGTACAAGCATTTGAATTGTTGGGAATTATAAATCAGAAAAACCGAGTCAAACCCAGCTGTATTTATGCTGTCCTTGCTCTCCCTTCGCCATAAATCACAGGTGCTGCAGTAACACCTCAACTGGGAGCTGCCATGTGAAAAGGGTGATCCAGAAAGCTGGAAGCCATGGGGGCTGCTGAGATAATATACCTCCGAAGGTAATATGATAATATGCCTTCTAAGATTTCAATGAATTCCTCCCCGTTAATGATGCTGCAACAACCCTACAGAATGAGGAATAAGTAATGCTTATTTCTGCAACAGAAATATAAATCATGTCCCTGCTTAGATGCTCTACAGAGCCGCATTTTCAACCTACAGAAATGCTATCTAAATTAATCTCTGTCTTTGCAGCACACTGTGCATTTTTATTTCAGGCTACATAAAGAATACATTGTGAAATTATGAATCAAGGGAAATTAGAGGAAATATGACTGCATCACAACGTCTTTTAAAACTAAAGTCCCGGCCACAACACAGATGTTTTTCTGCTTCAAATGTGCTGTTAAAGGCATGAATTATGCCTTTAAACTCATAAATGTTCAGACCTTTTAGACAGAGGCACCAAGCTCAGCTGTATTGATTTAGCCCCAGCTTTGTGCTGCAGCTTCTACAATTAACAATATCTTTCCACAGATTTTTTTGAAGCTGGGCAAAAAAAAACTCGGAAGGCCTTAGTGACGGAGTCTTCATGAATCAATAAAAAAGCAAAGTACCCCACATTAAGTAAACACAAATCCAAAATTAGAATAACCCAGAGCTTCGCTGGAGGCTTTATTCTTTGGGAACAATCCATTACTGCACAACTGAGTGCTGTCTCAGTTTGAAAGATGCTACAGTATACGTAGGTTTGACAAACTCGCTCTCCCTCAAAAAATGGAAAAATGTTAACCCAGATAGAAGTTTATGACAAAACAAACACTTCCTCCATTTGCACTATAATAATTTAAGGGAAGCACACCGTATTTCTCCCTTTTATAGAAAGAACAAAGTCCAACATTAAGATATATGCCATATAAAATGAGAGGTGGTGAATGTGAAACTGTATTAGGCCTAAAGCAATTTAAAATTAATTATTTTATGTTTCAGTTTGTAAAATTATACTAACAATTTTTTGCAAAAGCAAATTCAATACAATAATTTCTGAAAATCATCAGATTTTTGTGCTGCTGAACTCGAGAGTAAATAAAAATCCCTCTGAAAGGCCATAGTTACTATAATTTTATTAACTGTCTAAGGACAAGACAATTCCCAAATTTACATCCTTGATGATTACTTAAATATATATTCAGAAGTATGTACTAAAATCTTGCTTTTGAGAATATTGAGAAGAGATGAGACATAATTCCTTGTTTCCACTTTGTGTTCACGATCAATTAACTAGACTAATAATTCTAAATTATAGTATTCTAACAGTGTAAGACATAGAAAAACTTTTCAACAATGTGTTATTTCCGAATTACTAATTGAGTTTCAAATTGGAAAGTACTAAATATTAGAAAGCACTGAATGTTAAGAACATTAGAAAGGAATGTCTTTCCAGCAAAATATGTGGCCCAGAGAAACGCGTCAGTATGCTTTTGTAACTTTGCCCTGGCTTAGTCTTATGTAGGGTCAGACATACTAGCCCAACTAAAAACTGAAGCATGATGGATCTTGTATCTCTAAGAAGAACGTGCAAAAAATAACTTACCATTTTCTGCAGGTGCTTTTCTTTCCGCACATCAACCATAACCATGCCCTCTTTGACGAGTCCAAGTCCAACATCGTCCTTGGAGTCAGAGAACTGCAGTGTGACATGGGGACAGCTGCCCACCATATACTCCAGATTAAGCAGACACTGGGTGTTCTGGATATCTCGCACAACACTGTCCACCACATCTGCACGGGCATCCTCCTAAGGTTTAAAACAGTGTTATTTTGAAGGGTCTGGAATTATAAAATGCATGATGATAGCATTGTCTATCCCTTGGCACTAAATAGTATTTTCTGGAGGGCTGTTCTAAATTTTTTTCTCTTTTTGGCTGACAAAAAAAGTGGAAACATCAAATCATTTCCAGCATAATTCTTGCTTCTGCATTATCATAGAAAACTACCCACATCACCCGCAAGACTAAAGGGTTTGATGTAGCCAACACGAAAAAACATTTACTCAAGCACAGTATTTATTTACATAAAATCAGTTACTGTATGAACATTTCTTAATGATCAAAAGCTACCACACACATCTAATGAGTTTCATCCACCTTTTAAGAAGAACAACAATATATACAGTAACTGTGTAAATCAGAAAGTAACATCTGACTGAAATAATGCTTTACTGATCATCAGTAGTCTGCCCAAGTCTATCATTCTTATGTGCACAACACATCTAGACCTGTCTCCATAGCTACCAAATAAGTGGTTGTCCTCAGAGAGATGAAGACAACTAAAGCATTTTAAATTATTCCTTGAAAAGTTTCTTTCTGGTCAGCATGAAGCACTTATAACAAGGGAGCTCATGGTAGGAACAATCAAGTATCTCCTATTTGCAGTCATACCAAAGGTTACTAAACACACTATCAAGGAAATCCTTATGTGCTGTAACATGGACTTTTCTTTTATCTCTAAAAATCTTTGAATGCTATAATTTTTATTTTGGGATACATTTTGCCTGTGCTTTTGTTTTTCTAAAACATTTTGCAATATGATCGGGAAACCCAAAACAGTTTTAAATTCACTGCAGGCTTTGCCAACACACAACATTTTAACCATTCTGCAGTAAGTACTGTACATGTCACAGTAACAGGCAACACAGACTGGGGATTCCTTGACACAAAGCTTTTAAAAGGTGCATTATTAGCATTTAATCCATACCCAAGGCAACAGACATTTCATACACTTAAAGAACAGTGTCAAAATAGATGACATTGTGACAAAAAAAAACTGCAGTATCAGCCAAAAGCAATAATTGTTGAAAGTGCATACAATGTGAATGCAAGTTCAACACACTAGGACGACGTATGTGAGTGATCTGAAAGGGGGCTGAGTTTAAGTGCTCTCTTGGCAGAAGCTTCAATATTGACGACAATACAAATGCTTATGTTTCATGAAGTGAGTACGGCCATTTAAATTGGTAGGGCAGCAAGAATCCATTCTCATTATACCTTAGGATAAAGAAACTTATCATGCATAAAGGAAGCAAGCTAGTAACCTTTTTAAGAGAAAAATAAAACTCCAAAAGGCACGGATACAATATGGTTCATTAACTCAAGAATGTCTGAAACAGTCTCTAAGTAAGAAACCATTCTGCATTACTATAAGGAGAGGTAGTTGAGTTGCAACACATACATCCTGTGGAACCTGAATGAAGGCGAAAGCATATTCCGTAGCTTGTGCGGGCAGGGTCCGGATGTTGAAAGCTGGTGGAAGAGCTGCAAGACGGGTAGAAGGTACAGTCTCTCTCTAGAATTGAATAAAAAGGGTTAATTAGAAAAGACAGCTCAATCCTCCTTTTCTTCTAGGTAATTTTCTAATAACGCACAGAGATTGAATTTTTCAAATATAACGATATATTGGGACTGCTTTGGAAACTAACCAATTTGAATTATGACATGTACAGTAATCATATATACAACATAGAGACTAGCATCGTATACATGATTAATCAAATGTATACGTCTGATTTTGCACATTAGTTTCATTTTACGTACTGACCTGCCAATATTCTAAAAATGTGATAATGTTCCATCTGAAAGCCAGAGACTTTGTGGCCTTCACAATTTATGCTACAATTTCAGGAAATTACTCAGAAATCTCATTTGAAAAGTGCTGGAAGTTAGTCGACATCCTGAGATTTTTTTCCACTGAATTTCTACGAGCAGAACTGGAATGTACAGGGGATACACTGGTATTTATTTAATAGCAATATATTCAGAATTACAGAGTGACTTTTCAGACTTCCTAATTTTCAACTTAATGTTGAAATGACATACTATAGGTGCGTTTTAACTTTACAAAGTACAAGATAACATTAAAAAACTATTAGAAATGCCTATAGCCATGAGAAAAGCAAAGCTTTGTGAACTGCACATTGCAGAAAATAAAGAAATGTAATGATAAATGAGGAAATCTTAATTCAGAGGACTATAAATCTTTTAGAAAGTTTTCTGTGATTGTTTTATCACCCACATCTGTTTTTTCCAGCTTTCTCATTTATTTTATTGTAAGTGCTTTTAAATATGCTAAACAAAAACTGTCACACTTAAGAATATTAAAAAATGGGACAATAATGGTAACAGCATACTGTAATAATGATTGTTTTTAAAGCAGAAGTGTCAGCTGTAAGCAAATAAACTGGCAAAACAAAAAACGACTGTAGTTCTATTATGTCTTTCGATATAAAGATATAGACAAGATCTTCTAAAGTACATGGAATTGCTATGTGTACTGAATGAATGGGTTGGTGGTGTTGATGAGAGGCCATAGCATTCATTCTTTTTCAACGTAATCTCTATATTCAGCAATATCTTTGCAATTTTAAACACAAAATTTCACAAGTGTGATAGCAGCCCAGTGTGCCCTACAAGGAGAGCCATACAATTGGGGAGAGTGTGTGTTTCTTAATAAATCACTAATGAAAAGACATGTCCTTATTGCTGTAGAAGTGCATAATAACCTAAAAGACTGGGGGCATTATCACCTCTGTTACCTGTAATACTAATGTGTTTGGTTCCATGATTAGCCTCTTGAAAAACGAATCATTGATTACAAATGCACGTGGGCTTTTGCCAATTGCTCCAGTTCCTCCCACAGTCCAAAAACATACTGGCAGGTTAATCAGGTGTGAGTGTTTTCATGTCTGTGTCTGTGTGTGCCCTGAAATCCCATCCTGGGTGTATCCTACCTTGCACCCATTGCTTGCTGGGATAGGCTCTGGCTCCCCAGTGACCCTGAATTGGATGTGAATTAAAAGCTTAGGTTTGGCAGGCAAATATGTCCTCATCATTAAAGGAAAGTTGTGCAAGGGAGGAGAGAGTGTGTGTTGCCTGATTAGTCACTTTAGGGTGCATATTTAAACAGCTGCATAAATATTGGAAATAATTTTGAAACCTTTAGAATAAACAGAACATATATTTGTCTTCACTGAGCAAGTAACCCAGGATGGTACACCAGGTGATGCACATCTTTCCTCACTGGAAATATTTCTAAGCACTACCAATAAAAGGGAGACTTGGGTAACCCCTTCACTCAGACAAAGACCTCTTCAGGACTGCAAATGAGTGTAAGAAATGTAGGAATGTTGTTCAACTCCTTTTTACTTGGTATTTCCAAACATTTGAACTATATTTATGATTACAGACATAAAAGATTGGCATCTTATAAAGACATTTTAAAATGTTTAAAATTAAAGTTGTATTTAAAAAGTTGTTTAAAAAAATCCAATTCCCTCCATTCACTCAGATTCATGGTTGATCATTATTAATTTAAGACTTTAACACTTGACAGAAAACAAGCAGCAAGAAATTCAGTGATGGCTTCAGTTTTTTCACAGCAAGACGACAAACTGCAAGTCACATTCCATCTGTGGTAAACACTTCAGTCACAAAATACGAGGTAACCACCCTCCAGACTGCAGTATTTTGTAAAGATCTAGTATGTCTGCTATCATATTCCAACAATTCCTCGACCATTTGGGGTTTAGTTAAAAACATGCTGTTGTGATAAAGCACACCAACGTATGGTTAGATACGGCAAGCACTCAATTTTAGATTCACATCAAATCATTTATGACGTAGACCTGATCTCTTCCATGTTTAAGAAGGCAAGGCAGAGCAAAGTGAGTAAGCCACTGTAAAAATGTGATTTCAGCTGCCACTTTGGAGATGCAGATTTTAACTAACTCAACATGCTACATGCCTCAGGGAAAGCAGTTGGGCCACTTCTGCACTGCTCTCTAAATATCACTGCTGTGCATGCAAAATAAAGTGAAATGCATATTACATAAAAGTTTGTCAGTGTTCATTGGCGAGAAGGTGTGCATAAACTGCTTAGGCATTTAAGACTCTTGTAAAAATAAACAGAGGTTAGAGGGCAAATATGCCTGTATTTCAGTTCTTATGTGTGATCCTACTATGACTTATTTGGAATCTGTATTTCATTAACATAACTCGTCTGCAATAAACTACATTTTATTGATGAGGATCCATCCGTTAACCCTCCCCTTCAAGCATTCCTAAAAGGTTATGTTTCACAAAATCTTTTCAAACAATACCGAGACAATTCCATGTAGTTCTGTAGGTTTACATGAAAAATACTTACATTGCCATAATCAATGTAAAACACGTGAACTTTTGCTGGGGATTCCACCTTCTCCACTCGAGCTCTGTACCTTTAAGGCAATGATTTGGATAAAAAAAAAAACAGAATAAATCATTACATTCATCTTTACATGGGGGTTTTGTAGCTCGGCAGACCCACCTTCTTTGATCGAATCCAAAAAAGGGTAGGTCACACAACGGACTGATGCAATGAGGGTAAATCTTTTTTTGTAATTTTAGGACACAGTTGTTCATATTTCAAAAATTAAATTGGAGTGCTGTCAGAACTTTCCAACCTCCATGAGCATATTATTTCAAACCCTCAAGTTATGTTAAAACACTTCAATGTACCATTTGCTGTATTAATAAATAAATAATCCTCTTCAGTCACTTCAGTTTGAGTGTTTTTTTGTCCTTCACTTCTCAAAACGTAATGTAGTCTTTTCTATACCTAAGTGCAAGAGAATGAGTTGAGACCTATTGTAAGTACCTGACTGCATTTATATAGGCCCCATACCCTTAAAGGCTCAATAAGATACAAGAAAGCTTCTTCATTGTGCATGCCAGAACAACAGATCCCCATGCAAGCCTGTGCTCATTAAAGATTCATAAACCAAAATCTGTTTTGCTTCTCTTTTCCTAAACACCAGTTCAGCTTCAAAGCAGTGTGTGAAAGTGGCCCCTTTTATATTTATAAGATGTCGCACAAAACTCTTTGCTCTTATCCTTCACCAAGCAATCCTTGCAAGGTGGATGAAAGTATATATTTGAGTTTTCAAGGGGAAAACATTTCATGTTTCTTTTAAACGGTTGAGCGTCTCCATATAAACTGAACTCAAGCGTACCTTGATGCAATATCTTTTCTTGCCCTTTGGAATTTTGCAACCTGGGCTTAAGTTAAATATTCAGAATACAGCACTGTTAAAAGTCACCCATTCCATGTGGCATAAATGTGCACCTCTTCCTACTTCCAATACTAGTTTTGGTGTTCAGACAAATTATTGCATATTTGTCACATTGGAGGTTTTCAGATCTTTAGACAAAATCTAATATTAGATAAAGGGAACCTGAGTGAACAATTAACACTATTTAATTATTATTTCATTTATTTAATAAACAAAGTTATCCAACACCCATATCCCCTGTGTAAAAAAGTAAATGTCTGGACTTTGACTAGGCCACTCAAAAACTTTAATTTTTCTTCTTTTCAGCCATTCTGATGTGGACTTACATTTTTGTGTTTTTGATCACTGTCTTGCTACATGACGCAACTACGCTTCAGCTTCAGCTCACGGACAGGACTGGACATTCTCCTAAAGAATTTTCTGATACAGAGCAGAATTCATGGTTCCTTCAATTATGGCAAGTCATGCAGGTCCACCACCAGGTTTGACTGTTGGTATGATGTTCTTACTATGGAATGCAGTGTTTGCTTTACGCCAGACATAATGGGACCCATGTCGTCCAAAAAGTTACAATTTTGACTCATCCATCCAAAGAACATTCTCCCAAAAGGCTTGGGGATCATCCAGGTGCTTCTTGGCAAATGAGAGACGAGGATTTATGTTCTTCTTGGTTAACAGTGGTTTCCGCTATGAAACCCATTTTTGCCTGTCTCTTTCTGATTGTGGAGTCATGAACACAGACCGTAGCTGAAGCAAGAGAAGCCTGCAGTTCTGATGATGATTTTACACTGCGCCCTTGGAGAAATTTTGGCAGGCCGCCCACTCCTGGAAAGATTCACTGGTGTACCAAGTGTTCTCCATTCAGAGAGTATGGCTATCACTGTGGTTCGGTGGAGTCCCACAACCTTAGAAATGGAGTTTTAACCTTTTCCAGACTGATAGATATCAACTTAACTCATGGTAAGGGTCAAAATACAGTAAGTGAGGTTTATATTGAGCAGGGCTGCCTGTGTTCAATCAGTTGACTCTATCCTTTTAATTGGGTTGTTTTAACTAGGGGGCAAATACTTTTTCACACAGTGCCAGTTGGTGCTGGATAACTTTTTTCATTAAAAAAATGAAAACAGGTTATTTGTTCAATCAGGTTTCCTTTATCTAATATTAGATTTTGGTTGAAGACCTGGAAACATTCAGTGTCAAATATTTACAATAAAAGGGGAAATCAGGAAGGGGGCAAATACCTTTTCATGGCACTATAAGACTGTGGATTAAAAACTGCAAGGTTAAGGGTTCATATCCATGCTGGATTACTTGTTTTTTTTAGCAGGGGTCTGTAAGGGATGCTGGAGCATGGAACACTTAAATACGCCTGCTCAAGACAGCAAGTGATCCAAATGGTATTTGAACCCATAACCTTCCAGTTTTTAGGAGCAACACGATTGAACCAGCCCTCTTATTCAAGCTTGTTAAGCACTAGCTTCTTTCAAGAAACCACTGGATGATTTCCTCAGATCAATTAACTACTAACTACTAAATAGGCTACATGGGCCATATGACTTCCTCCTGTTAGTACCCTTTCTCACGTTCTTGTGGCACTTCACTAAAACTACTGAAGCACGTTGCTTTGGATAAAAGTGTCAGACAAACAAATTAATAATTGATACTTGGCAAATGAGAACATAAATGAATTTGTCCTACACTGTTCAATTACCTTTACAGATTCAAAGATCTTCTTTGCTTTTATTGCTTGCACAGAAGTTGGATTGTTATACTGTTAGATAAATCAGAGAAGTGTGCTATGATGCTAATTAAGATTCTAGCAAGGATGTTTAAACATTCATTAAAATATGTGATGTCGGGGCTTCTGAGCTTCTGGTAAAATTATTATTGAGAAAGCGCAAAGACTCAACGATCAAATGGGCATGATCGGCAGAAACTCGAAGTGGCTGTTTTTCAGTTGCTTATGTTCTAAGATGTGGCGTGTGATTGGCTGAATGCTGCCATGGCTGGGAAGGCACAAAGTGGGCCAGAATTTCCTTGGCATGCTGCATGATGGGAGCCTATGCGCTTGCAGTGTCATCAGGGAGGCCTTAATAAGCCCCTTTTTGATGCCTTAACATTGCAGTGTGAGCAAAGCACTAGCAGAGTGAAAAGAAACATATGGTCTGAGCATGTTACAGAGAACAAATATATGTAGTGAGCATCACTCCTGGTAGAAGGAGTGTGGCAGAAAGCCAAGCTAATAACCTGAAATTCCAACATCGGGCAACATAATAAATATCTAAAAAGGGACACAAAAACATTAAGTCTCATTAATTTAGATAAACAGCTGTTGGATTTAGTTTTTTTTTCTTTTGAAGGTGAGCTTGGCTACCCTGTCAACACACAGCAAGGCATAACGTTATGAAAAATCCAGATAGACAGCCTTTGTTAAAGAAACATCTTCAGCGCCAGGCATGAAAGAAACAAAACTCTAATTAGTTTTAGGAAAATTAGCAAAAGCTCCACAAATTCAAAGGGAACAGTATGTCTGGCACTGACACTTCACAGTAATTGATTTGTCTTTTGGAAACCTTGTGGGGAAAAAAAGAGAACTGCTTGCAGATTGATGCAATATACTTTATAAATGGTATATTACCATACTATATATGCCTATATAATGAAATAATCCATATATATAAATAAAACATTGTTAATAATCATAATAATAATAACAGAACAAATACATTCTGTATTGTGTGTCCAAAGAAAGCCCCTTCAAAACTAATCAGATCATCAGATCCAGCAAGAAAATATTGTGCTGCATACAGTATTTCCCATTAATAAAACTGTGTAGATGAAGTGTTTACTTTTCCGGGATGCAAAAATGTTAGCAAATTTGGAAAAGTAAAGAATAATGGACAACTTGTTTGTGCTAGTTTTAAGACTTACTTTGCTTTTTTTTCTATTGCGCTATTGGGAGTGTACTGTACCAGTACTGCAACGTTATTGCCTTTTTAACATTGCATGAGGTAACCTAAGGTCAGTTTGCATTTACGCTTCAGTTAGAGGACAGCTCTGAGTAGGCCCAAGGCCAACTCTGGTTGTGCTTGAACTTTTGGATGCTTTAAAGTCATTGTGTTGGATTTAAACTGCAATAAGGTGGCCCAAAATCTGCCTAGAAATATCCATGTATTTTTAAATATGGCACTTGCAAAACATCCTGAAAAGGTACTGTATGTTCTGGGATAAAAGGACTGGAGAAAAAAAAAGATGTACTTTAAGGACAATAAACAAAGAGTATGTGACATATTTCAAAAACTGTAGAAACTAAAATGGCATTGGCACAAAAAAAAGACTGGATCAACACAGGGCAAATTAAATTCTACTTGGGAAAATAGTAGACAAACAGCTCGAACTGAAAATGAAAAGATGAAATTGAGTTTGCAAACAGTGAGGCTCAAAGAAAGGTGGAGAGATAAAACTGAAAGTTTACAAGAGTAACATGGATACAATGGAATGTAATGATCTTGGGGCAGCTATTTTCCAATCCTGTCCCCAGATGAATTATCCACTGACAATGGCCACTTAGAAATTAGCCACCAGCCAGAACATTTACAGTATGTTTAGTCTATTGTTTCCCAACAGATATAAGCTGTTTGAAAGTGTTTACTTAGCATAACAAGCACTCACATATTGATGCTAGAGGAGAACATTAAGCTGGGATTCACCAAAGTGAAAATAGAAAAAGAAACCTATTTACACAGAAAATACTCTTCGTATGCTGTGTTGTCTGTGTAAAGCTCCTGTTGCACTGCAATTTCCCTCACGGGATCAATAAAGTATCTATCTATCAAGGCAAACCGAGCCTATGTCAGGACGAGACCTCAATTGTCAAATGTGTCACTAAAAATCTCAGCATAAATGATTTAGGAATAAGATACAAAATAGTAATGTCTGCTCACATTTTTCCCCTCTAGAATTCCACTACAACCCTTTCTCAATGGAGTCCTTAGAGAAGGCTGCTGGAGAAGGTCTGGCTGCTATTTTTTTTTTATATCCAAAGGCAAATACCAGGCGTAATTTACATATATCAGTAATGTCTTAGTTATCGCAATGAAACTCATTTGTTATCAGTATAAAATATAACTGATGCTCAATACTATAATGTAGTGAATTAAGACTTGTGGTCATACACACATAGCAGGTGACATGTCTCAAGAAAAAAGTTTTTCACAGATTTTGTAAAATGCAGGATTTATAGGACAATTGCAGTGAACAACTAAGGACTTGCACATATCTTTACAGTGTTAAGTATAGAATTCAGCGAAATTAAGTAGCTATGTCCCCAGGGAACATCTCTAATGAGAAGTAAATTGAAAATAAAGTGACAAAATCAAAATTCTGCACTTTAAATTGTGTCCTTATTAAAATCATCGACACTATTATTTTTTTCGTTTCATTTAAATGAAAATATTTAAAAGAAACCCTAAAGGTGGCTTGTGACTACAATTTCTGAACTATTGTACTAGTTTTCTCAGTTGCTGTTAAATATTAATTCAATGTCATCTAACTATATGAAGCAGTTAATTATGGAGACTTCCAATCGTTACTAAACAATTTGTAAACTTGAATATCCCGCACTGTTTTTATTATCTTGGAAACATCACTGATAAATATCATAGCTATGAAGCTGACATAAACAAACCTTTTTATTGTCCTTAAGATGGGCCCTGTCTCAAATTGAAAACATTTATGAAACAATTTCCTTCAGCTTAAAAAAACATCTTAAAAAGTGGTGAGTGAGAAAACATGAGCCACACATAAAAGACCTTTCCATTGTCCTTAAAAAATATTATTTGTGGATAAAAAGTGTAGAGGTGCAAAATGGATTTTGCAAAAAGATAAATTTACTGCACAAATAAACCGTTACATATTTAAAAATATCGACATAGAATAAAAAAAGCAAAATCGCCAACTAAAGGAGAAAATACTGTAAACATTTTATGCTCATGGCAGGAATGAAGTTAGAAGTCTCTAAAAAGATAGAACTAGCATATTTGTAATAGATTTGTAATCTACGTCAGAGTTAGATTAATTTTCACCTTTAAATTAATGAAGTAAACTCTATGCATTACATATATATATATATTACATATATATGCCAGCAGCCATATCACCCTGCAACTCACAACTGGCAACCCACTGAAGCTAAGCAGGTGTGAGCCTGGTCAGTACCTGGATGGGAGACCTCCTGGGAAAAACTAAGGTTGCTGCTGGAAGAGGTGTTAGTGGGGCCAGCAGGGGGCGCTCACCCTGCAGTCCATGTGGGTCCTAATGCCCCAGTATAGTGACGGGGACACTATACTGTAAACAGGCGCCGTCCTTCGGATGAGACGTAAAACCGAGGTCCTGACTCTCTGTGGTCATTAAAAATCCCAGGGCGCTTCTCGAAAAGAGTAGGGGTGTAACCCCGGTGTCCTGGCCAAATTTCCAATTGGCCCTTACTAATCATGGCCTCCTAATAATCCCCCTCTATGAATTGGCTACATTACTCTGCTCTCCTCCCCACTGATAGCTGATGTGTGGTGAGCGTTCTGGCGCACTATGGCTGCCGTCGCATCATCCAGGTGAATGCTGCACATTGGTGGTGGTGGAGGGGAGTCCACATTACCTGTAAAGCGCTTTGAGTGGAGTGTCCAGAAAAGCGCTATATAAGTGTAAGCAATTATTATTATAACACAGCAAAACAGTATAAAAACAGCATTCCGATATACTTTTTGGCAACACTAGCAGCTGCAAAAGAGTACAATTCTCATTTAGACAAATCATGGTGTTTTCAAGGGTGTCCGGAACTTTTGTTAATCAGTATAAATGTACAAATACAAAGACTGGTTCTTATTACCTAATATGATAAGGCTAAAAATGAACATTGTCTAACAATGCCACTAGCCCATACTTGTTAATAGGCCATAAAGATAAAATCTCCCAGTGAAACATTCAAAGGTGACCACAAATATGATTTACTTGTGATTTGATGTACTTGTGTCTGTAGGAGAAAAAGCAAATAAATGTAACTAATTTAGCACAAAGAGCTTTGTAGTCTCAGGCATTTTTTTTTTTCATTCAGTGACCTTCACTGCCTCGATGCTCACCATTCCCCATCTGCAAATTTGGAGATGCAGTAGTCTCCACGGCGTGGCGAGTAGGAACCCTCGACAGGCGGGTGGGCAGCAATCTCACTCCTCATGGTTTCCATCAGCTTCTCCAGCTGGGTGCCTACAAGAGACACAAGGCCAAAAGGATAATGAGGTCTGCATTGTCACACTGCTATCTTAATTAGTACCCTGTCAACACACATGGCAACAATACCACAGCAAAGAGAGGATAGCTAATGCAGATAACCTTCAAAAGAACTTGTCACTCTTTTAGCTTGTTAGCAGGTTTATCATATGCCCATTTTCATTACTATATAAAACACAGACGGAGAGGTTGTCACTTCGTCTCTATCTACGATTGTGAAAGCTTGCTCTACAACTGACAAACACGATCGTGGGAACAAATGAATGGCGATGAAAAAAAACAGAGGATTAAAGTTGTCACCTATAATTGGTCTGCTGTGCATATTAAATCTACAACTTTTGACCTGGAGAGAGGAGTATACTTGTTTAACTAGTGAGAGAAAAAAACAAAAAACATATTCCTTAGGTTTGCTCTTAGCTGTTATGGAACTGAATCGCTAATAAGAAAACTTGTCTTGGTTGTCACATGTTTTGGTTCTTGAACAAACTCTTAAAGTGAGTAACATTACAAGGACTGACATTTCAATGATACTTTTTAAATTCTCACCTGCCATTGCCAACAGTTCAGGTAGAGAGACTGGATTCTTTTCTAGGATGTACAGATTTATGTTTCCACTAAACCTGGACTTGTTATCCGCTTGCTAAATTGTGCTAGGTTTCAAAGATCTGTAAGTATTACAGTAGATTCATAATAATCTATCCATTATTCTGCTGATTTCTGAATAAACCATTTACAAAAGTCACTAGAATTATTGTTTTCCTTTTTAGTGACTTAAAAAGGAGATTTTATTTGTCATGATAATTAGATTTTTGTAATTTATCATATGAATAGAAAGATGGCATGAAACACTTTTTAGTTTAGTTCCACATTTTAGTTACTGCATAACACCAAAACATTTAGTTTGCAAATTAATTTACTGTATTAATTTACTTTACTAATTGTCCAGCATATTATATATGATTAGTATCATATAATCATATAATTAAGCATTAATGATTTAATGAAATTAAAATATTTTGTTAAGCTGCAGGTAGAAACAATAATTCTGCTCCTAAACACAAGGATCAAACAATGTTTTGCTAAAGTATCTATGTCACAAAAAGCATTAGAGTTTGTTCTGCTGATTACTAAATCAATCATTCTTTTTCTTAATGATAAAAGTATACTAAAATTATATTTGCATTTCTTATTAAAAAGTAAATTTCTGGCAAATACTGGAATGTCTGTAGTGAGGCCTCAAGCAAAAGGATTCTGGTGTAAATTATATATTCAATGCTCATTTCCAGTAGACTTTTGACTTTCCTAGGGTGTCATCAACATGCACTGTAGCTAACATGGCAATAAGTCAATGTGAAAATACAATGTCAACAAATGGCCATTTAATTACATTGATTTTTCCATTAGATGCAAACTTCAAAACTTGGGATAGAAGCCTAATAATGATTTGACCAAACAAACTACATTTTTTAGGTGAGAGATTTTCAGAATGAAAAGCTGCAGCTGGTCATGATGTTCCTCAATTCAACTTCAACTTAAATTGCTTAGTTCAGAAATTAAATTGCTTGGTTAGATTACAAAAAAAAAACACAGTAAGGAAATGAACAAAAAAAAACACTTAGAGCAATGTTACAAAAATAAAGATAAGGAAAAGATGTTGCCATGGTAAACATGTAAAATTATCACAGTATTGTCACAGCTAAAAAAAGACAAATTTACAATCAGGTTTTGATTTCCGTGAACAAATCTAACAAAGACAGTCTTGTGTTTATTTCTGCCAGTAGAACAACAGCAATGAGTGTACTGCAGCAACATCACCTGTTAGGTACAGTAGGTAGTGGATGCTGAGTGATCACAGCCATGATAATCATATCCGTATGTACCCCATGCTATTAGTGGAAGGGTGCCAAAAGTGTGTTTGTACTCATGTGCAATAATACATATTATCAATACTTATTTTAACATAGACTTCTATTTGGATCTGTAACTGGAGTGCCAACATTTTAGTTTAGGATTAATTTGTCTTTTAAAGATGCAAGTCTTACTTAAATCTCTGCTTGTCATTTGTCAGCAACACTATATGTAGTTTTAAAACATCAAGGAATAAATTCACAGTGACATCAAAACAGCATTGTTTCAGGAGTAAAAAAAAACCCAACATTTTAGATTCGCAAAATGAAAGACCCTTTAGGCAAGTAGCTTGAACACGTTACACAATAGGTAGACCACAGACACCCCCCCCCCAGCCCCCCACCCCACCACCTCATCAACCCACATTTGCAAAAGCAGAATACTGCTTTTTAAGCAAGTTATCTGCCGTGAACAAAGTAAGCCAATGGCATGCATTTTTTAAACTTGCTACCTTAATTAGCATCATGTCAACACTAAATAAAATACTGTGCAGAAAGGCCTACAGGGAAGTCAAAACTGGAACACTTATTGGGACAACTGCAGGATACAGAATAGCAAAGATGAAATGTATTAAGAAGTACCCATAGGACCGTTGAGAGATTTAAGGGCAATGCCTGATGTCCTTAAATTTCAAAGGCCACCTGCTAAGATCATGAATGCTGATGAAGTTATTAGCACACATGAGACCTAATCGTTCCCTTTAATAAAACCACACGAAATTTTAGAGTACTCGGAAACAGTGCAATAAAATCCCACTTTCTGTTCATAATGTTAATGTGTATTGAAAGAAAGACTATTTGACCATCAGTGTTCAGTGTTGCTAATTTATTAATCTAATTAAGAAAGTTTGAATCTCAGTTTGAATGCAAAGTGCTTTGTACTCATCTACTTTTAGTCCACAGAGATCTTATTAAATAATGAAAGTGGTAAATGAGTCCTTTGAATGCTGTAATTGCACGAGCTGAATGGAAACACTTCATTTAACCCAATTAATATCAAACCTTCTCATTATACATTAGGAATGAAGGAGCAAACAGACATACTATTAACTTAAACTTTCCGAATAAAAAGCCATCCAGTTAATGTTGTAAAAAGCTACATCTTACTGATATCAGAAGCTGAAATTTCAAAAATTCAATTGGGATTTAATGGGGTACCTCTACAAAAACAGGCAGAGAACAACATTTCTGCCCTCCAGACAACAAAAATTTTGTTTACTTTTATCATCCGAGGAATGAAATGCAGTACTGCAAGTTGTTGATTCTGATAAAATTTACAATTGAATGTGTTGCCAAAAGCGATACCTTGATTTCCCCTTAAACGTCGCTTTACAGCATTTTAGCTTAGCTACATTTCAATTTTCAACAAAGTGCCCATAAATCATTACAGCATAACCCCCGGATCAAAATTTTAATTACTACAGAGCAGTCACATTAGAATGAGCTATAAATTCACAGCATTGCGGACTTTTCCCTATGACAAATGCACATTTAAAAAATTAAGATTTTTTTACAAGCTTTATATGTAAGTATTATATTTATTACTGTCCCCCATTCTGATAATTTACTGAATGCACAGAACCCTTGGAGAAACAGGTGGGTGGATTTGTGGGTGGCATGTGGGTGTTTTACAAAATGAACAGACAGGAGATAAGGTTAATTGGAGTGTACTTCAGACACAGAAGGCCATCTTAATTATTGTATAGCCTGACACATCCCAGTATTATATTATTTTTATTATACATAAAGGTGGGCCTGAACTGATAAAGTTAAACATTTCAACAGTTCTGAGTTTTGGGTCTATATCCCTTTTCACTATAAAAAACAATTAAAAAACAACATGCACAAAATCACAAGGTTACTGTACAGAAGACAGCTAATTCCCCAAATGTTTTAAGTCATTACATATTTATGGGTCTTTGGCTAGTATCATCTCCAGAGAGTGCAAGTAGTGTAATACATTTTTGGATCACAGTCTGTTTCAGGTGACACTGCATAATTACATTGTCGACAGAACACATCCACAAAATGTATTCTGATTTAAAAAGAACCTTCTGCAAGCTTCAAGCCTGATGATTAAAGCATCGCAGAATTTTGGTGACAAATCATTTATATATGAAAGAAGATTAAAGGCCTCTTTGGGAACAATATACATTTTGTATTGAGAAACAGAAGCAAAAATCTGCAAACGCAAAGCATCAATGAGGGGTTCCAATACACAAATTATGTGATAGACTGACAACTGCGTTTAGCCTACAAAAGAACAATTTGGGCTGTAAGAACAACCACCTTTTGCCGTCTTGAAATGTATTTTGAGAAAGACTGAATTCTGAATTCAAAATGCATTAGACAGGTATCAAAATGTTCATGGTTTGTTCAGCTTAAACCAATGGATCAAAAACAGTATGACTTTAGTCCATATGGGAGCTACAGCGAGTTATTAGGCCAGAGAGCTGCTTTCTGTGTACATTTGAGTCTACAAATGAAATTTATGTTTAACTAATGGTTGTCTTTTTCAGTTACAGTACTGTACTCTAAGCCTTTTATTTTCACACACAACTAAGTTTCATACTTTCTTTTCCACTGAAAGACGGCAAACTGGTATGCCCTTGTGGTGAAAAATATTGCATGTCTTTTTAAATGTAAATTTTGCTTTAGGCACAACAGTCTGGATGCTCATACTATATGCTTATACTACGTATTATGTCCATGATTCATTCAATAAACAACTGCTATAAATGATCCACTTGTCTGAACACACATTCCTCTGCACTGACTGCTGCATGCAATTCCAAAAAGTGATCCACTGCAGCTGTGTAATTAAGTCTTAGTATCCGTTTCTTCCAAAATGCATTACATTCATATCGCCTTCATAGCATTCTCTCAGCATAATAATCATTCAGTAAAAAAACTGTCAACTCTTCAACTCTTTCCAGTAATTGAAAACAGCTATCTGGTAAAACTGAAAAAAGCCACTCCATTGAATGAGAAAATCAATCAATCAATCAACCAAACACACTCATATATATGCATATATACATGTGTTTCATTTCCCAATTGGTACAATTT